ATGCCTTATTTTATTATTAAAATTATTCTTTGTTTAATACTTGGAATTTTCTTCTAATACCAATCTTTCAAACTCTTATCTCATTACAGTGTGCTTGATAAAATGCTGCAAACTGTGCCCAGTTGTTCTTACACTTTTTATGAATGTAGAGGGAGCTTTAAAGGAAAAGGACACCAATTTAAAGGAAAGCAGTACCTTATTTAATAATATATGTATCAAGTCCACAAGTATTCGATTTTAACTGCATCTATTAAAAATGTATTAAACCTTTTTCTAGACTGTGGATCTGGGACATCATGCCTGATCTGCTGGTAGGTAACTCCAGTTGTCAGTTACCTTCCTTATTAAAAAATGCTTGAATAAGTAGTCTGAATTTGTCTAGCTTGGGCTTAATGCTATATACATCCCTTGGCTAAACTGAGGAACAAATTGTTCTCGGAAAACAAGCAAACAAATAAATAGCAGAGTGATGATTAGCAGTGCTGATCATAGTTAATTTCTCTGAACTATTGGTTATCAGTCAGGGGATTAATGCTGATTTTGTTTTTTATTTGATCATGTGAACTTTTTTGAGGTTTTTGTGAGGGTTTTTTTTTCAAATGCTTGCACAAATACATTTATTCATTCAGCTGCTTTTATTGACCAAGTTCATGAACTATAAAGTGATGCTGTTAGTTCAATTAGTTGATTATTGTACATTCTAGTTTACCCCATCACTGTAGGTCACAAATACGATAAATGGATACCTCTCATGATACAAGAAGAAAGACAAACAGTTGAAATATATGCCTTCACGCTCTCTCTAGTTCTATATTCTCATTTGTGTAAGAACGTATGAAACTCATTACTATGTTATGTCAGGAGTTGTGTGTGTGTGTATATATATTTTCAGTGTAGATGTGGGTGTGTACATTCGTTAAAATACATGAAAAAAATTGAGTTTAAGAATATATTCGCCTGCTTTAAATGTACAGGACACACAATTTTTTTGGCCAGTCTGTTAAGAGGCCACTTTACAGCTATAGCAAACGAGTTGAGCAGAATGAAATTGCATCATATGTCCTTCAAAAGAAGTTTCACCATTTTCTGAGTTTGTTTATTATATATTATTTATGCAGGAAAAGAAAAAAAAAAAAAAGGCAAGTAAACAAATCAAACACCCTGCTGTAAAACCAGATAAGATTTTTCTGTTTAAACTTATGATACATCCTCAACCGTGTTCTGCTTACACAATAAATAAGCGCTTGTTTAATTGTATTTTAAAATTTTAAGAATGTAATTCTGTATCTAGTTTTAAAACTAGTTATCTTGATTTTTTCTATACTTTTTTTGATCTCATGAGGCATAAGTATTAAAATTCACTGCTATGATGTTGTATCTATGTTTTTGTGACAGTTTGGAGTATGACGATTTAAAATTTATTTAAGAAATATCTAAATTTAACAGTTTGGCAATGCTGTTCCTCCAAGAGATGCAGTGGGGGCTAGAAGAGAAAAGGCAGTCTTTAAAAAAAACAAAAGGACTCCTATCTACCTTCCATGTTTCAGATGCCCAGACTGTCACAACCATATGTATGTGAACAAGGAACCCTCACAATGAAGACTTCTGCAAAGACCGTTTTTGTTAGCTGGGTGACTTTGTGGATAAGAAGTTCTGTAATGAACATATTAATAATTGTAATATTATCTGGTAGATTTTGTAGACAAATTGCTCTATGGAATTGAGTCAGCCATAGTTTACAGATGTCTGCACTGTATTCTCCTTATAACTTCAGAAACCAAGTCAAGATGCAGAAGAAAAGAGGATTCTGGGTTTGGCAGACAGGGAACAGGACCCTGATGGGCTTCAGTCAAACACAGATATCATTACAGGGGACCAAATATTTTAAGCGTGGTGAAATCATGTATGATCACAGGTCGTCATACAGTTCCTTTCATTAATACAGTTAGACCAGTCTCTGTTACCTATTCCTTAGCCTACTGAACAGTTTTTCAGAACTTCATTAAACTGATGTTAAAAAAACATTTGTTCATTTCCAATCTAAAGGCACAGATATTTCTGAATTAGATTTTAAATGTGTATCACCTTTTAAACTAAATAGATCTTTAAGCATCTGGAACACTGGTTTGCTCTCTAGTGGTACATTTTTCTCATCTCAGCTGTTTTCGAAGTCTGCCTGTATATAGAAATAAAAAGGGGGAAATAAAAAAAGGCATCTCTTTCAGTATTTAATTGAAATTAAGAAAATTCTTAATCTGTTCTACTGTAGTATGAAGGGCTGCTAGCCAATAGTCTGGATGAGAGATATCAGGGAAGCCCCATAGCAGTATATCAAATACCATTATAATCTTCTAACCAATATAAGGGCAAAAGGAAAACTGTAATAATCAACTAGACACACAAAAAAAAAAAGAAATAGCGGTATTATCTTCTTAATTAACCACTTTAAATTCATCTTTCAGTTTATGTATCATTAGCAAGGTTTTACTTAACATCCAATTACTCTTAATTCAGTTGTAAACTGAATGCTATATTTATAAAATAAAAATGTATTGAGAAAAAAAACCAAGACAACTCTTTTATTTTGTTAGTTTTGATTAGAGAATATTTTTTCCTTAGATGAGAAAGGAGGTAAAGAAAGATGAAATGTGCATGTGTCTGAGCAAACGTGTAACTAGAAAGAATTAAGTTTGTGGGTTTACCCCTTAGTATTTAGTATTGCTACAGAATGCTTGTGCTGTTAATACTTTGCTTGAAAAGCAGGTTAAAAGTCATGTGTTTAAAATTATTATCTACTTAGTCTAGTGACTCCTAATACTGTGCCTGCGTGCCTGTCAGAACGTTTAGCCATGGAAGAAATACAACTAGTCACATTACATTTTTCCATAAATCTTTTATGAAGTAAGAGGGTGTTTTTATAGTGTAAATGATTTATCAATGCAGTACCGTGCTGCTATTGTGCCCTTTAAGTTTTAAATTAAATCTAATTTAAGAATTAATTCAAGACTTGATCTGAAGTTGAGTGGATTTTATGAAAATGGCCTTTTATAGAAACCTCCTACTTGTCTATGCACCTTGAGTTTTCATTATCTTAGTACTGTGTGAATCTAGAGAAGCTTCCATATTCCCTTGCCTCTAGAAATGTGGAATATGTTTTAATTTCATTTTTTCTCATGTTGTCAGGGTCCACAATTTGTCAGATAGCCAGAATCTGTTGCCTTTATGCCTAGAATTCGTAGTTGCTCTTCAGAACAGCTGATACAATAAACTTTTGTCGATTATATGTTTAGTGGTGTATAACCACTAAATTATAATCTAAAAATTCTTCTTGCATTTTTGGGGGCAGGAGGAGGGAACTGTAATTAATGTAAAAGCTCCCCCTGTCAACATTATAATGGATGGAAATAACTGAACATGTGTGGGACATGTGACTGTTGAGTTGTTGTGTTTCTCTATTAATTTGTGAATCACAATTTTAACCTAGAAATGAGATGCAAACTAGACTAAGCATGTACATTGCATATGTATTGGTTGCCATTTAGGTAAGAATTAACGTACAAAGCCAGTATATGACCATATGTGTATATATATTGCTGTGCCGATTGTTTTTACTTTGGTATGAAAATATTACACATATCTCTTAATTAAACAACTTGGTTAATACAAACATAAGTACTCTCTTTTTAAACCATTTTTACTTGAGCACTGCATTGTTCTTTAGATAGGAGGCTGTCCTCAGGTGAGGAAGTTCCTGAGCTGCAGATTGCTGGAGACAAGGAGAATGCACTGGAGGAACAGCCTCACTAAGCTTGCCCTCTGCTCAAGGAGGCCCTTGACACCAAGACAGGATACAAAGCTATAGATGAACCTTGACTTTATGGGTGGAAGGGCAATAGGCAAAGGCTCTAATGTAGATACCTTCACCTGCAGGTCAGGTTAGGAAGTAGCTCTTTATTACCCTACAGCTGTCAGTGCAGCTTCTAGCTGATACCAGCTGTTAGACCCTTTCAGAGTCATATGGAAAGGGAAGTAATTTTTCTTGTGTTCCTAATTAAGATAATATAGTGATTTTTGCTTAGAAGAATGCTCGGTCAGAGGAACAAATAAAGTACTTAGAAATTTGGTGGGTGGTGTGGGGGTGGAGAGAATTCATGCAGAATTTGGAAAGCACAGACTTTCTGTCATTTGAAAACTTAATCAGTTAATGAATTTGTCAAAGAATGTGTGGAATTTTAGAAATGAAAGTATTTAGTGACATCTTTAGTTTTGGCCATGAGTAATAATAAAATATTTGTGACTGAATAGTAAGTGCTGGCAAAGAGGTTATAGCAACTTGCACAATATCGTGAACAACTGCAAGTTTATCTGCATTGCATCTTTCTCTTTTTTTTAACCAGAACCTTAGTGGTTCATAAGTTTGAGGGATTTTTTGAGATATCTGAACTAGTTTTCTTGTGAAGAAATTCCTTGAGATTCCAAATTCACTGGGTCAGGCCGGAGATGACTTTATAGATAATTTTAGCTGTAACACTAGTGGAAATTCTTAAAGAAATTGAATTATATGAATATGAGTAGGACAACCAAACATTATTTTGTGAAATATATTTTTTTTTCTGTATTTGGAGTATAGTTTGATTTCACATCAGCTAACACTTTGATGTGAAAGGATCCTGTTCTATAATCCACTATCTAAAATGTGAAACAAGGAGCATTTAATGTGAAACATTGTCCTGTTAAACAGCTGTCTCAGAGAACTTCATTTTACATTGGTGCATAACTTCCCAGGTGAGTTATAACAAACTGAACTACATCTAGAAGCTTTTAGGGAGTTCAGGCAACCACTGGAATGTGCTTCTGTTAGTTGACTTCATTACCAGTTTCAAATAATGCGTTCATTTTCTTTTCTAAGGTTCTGAGAAATGTTAACTTTTTGTAAGAATGCTAACATTTTAGTGTGAGGTTTCTTTCTGCTTATTAATTGAAGTGTTTCTGTTTTCAAGGGAACAAAAGAAATTGAAGGTGAAGAGGAGTCTGGTTTAATTCCGCCTGCAGAAGTATTTGCTCCTAAAAGTCTGGTGTTGGTATCCAGACTAGATTATCCAGAAATTTTCAGGGTAAAGAACTTGCAATTGCCATTTATAATATATGTCAGCAGACAAATCTGTTTTTAATGAGTAGCAGTGACAGTACTTTTGATTTAAAGCATCTCAGGATTGATTTGGGAATTTTAAAGCAAAAGTAGACTTATATTGAACTAGATAAAATTCAATGTCTATGACAGTAAATAGCCCCTATAGGTTGAAGCAGTGCTTAAAACTGCTCCAAGCAGTTTTAAATCTACATAGAAGATGAAATAGAGATTTTTCTCTGCTCAATTTACTGTATAATGAAGGGAATTATTAGGACAAAACCAGACTTGCTCAGGTAAAAACAACACATCAACAATATTTGATTAAATATATAATGGTAAATTAATAGTGGAATCCTAGTTTTCCTCCATATGTAAGGCAAAATGTCAGAGCCTCTTCCAGATCAAATTAAGATGCATGACAGAGATTTAGGATCTTAGATTACTTTCAGCTGATGAAATATGGCTGATCTGAGATAAATGAAAAGCTTATATTTTTATTAAGCTAATACATATTAAGAGAAACAAATATAGTTCAGTTTACAGATCAAGGGAGGAAGTAATTCAACAGTTATGTTGTCATTAGACATTAAGAATGACTGTAAGGAGTGAGATTAAAAGTCCACATAGCCCAGTATTTTGTCTCTGATAGTGGCCGGTAGCGAACGCAAAGCAAAATGTGTAAGAGTAGGGCAGGCTGTAGAAATAATGCCACAAAATACTTTCCTAATTCAGTGTGAATTATAGTTAAATGACATCCTGAACCAGAGGTGTCAGTTATGTGGTTTTTTTCATATCATTTGCCCAGTTTCTTAATGTTCAGATTTTACAACAACCCGTGGCAAGGAGTTTCACAGCTTAACTATGTGTTATATGAAAAGTTAGTTAGAATTATTTCTGAATTATTTGCTGAATTATCAAATTACAGCAGTTAAAAGGCACCAAAAGGATGCTGTGGAGCTAAGTTATTTACTTCCTTTTTTCCAAAGGCTTCTTAGAATGTGATGTTAAATCATCTCACACTGGATTATTAAATTATTAAAAATTATAAAGCTCTGTCTGTAATTTCTTAATCAAAACTGGATCCGTACAAAAAAATACGGAAATGCTGAAGTGTTAATATATTGTTCATTTTAAAATAAATCTATATTGAAATAATAAAATAAAGAATGTAAGTTAAATAACGTGTGGAATTGTTGATCCTTGATGCTAGTCTTAAAACGAGCCTCTAAAGCTCGTTGATTCATCAGTGTTCTACTCTGGAAACCAGTCAGCTTTAGGTCCATAGAATTCAAAGCACAGATGAAGCTATGTTGATTTTATAATTTTTAAAAGTAACTTGTAATAAAGCACTTTTTGTATAATGAACAAAGCACAAATACTAAGCATTTAATTTCTTTTAAAAAAAGAATATATTTACACCTGCCGGCACATAAATCCCTTCTAAATAGCCAGGCTAATTTTTTTTAAATGAATGATTGCTTCTATAGCAAATTACTTTGTCTTCAGTTGGAAAGTACTTCACTACATTAATAACTATTAAGACACACTTATTTTTAAAAAATTATATACATAGATCTTTAAGTAATTTGACATCTGCCTTCCCTGTATAGCAGTCTAATATATTTTGTCTACCTTTCTAGGCTTGCCTTGGCCTGATCTATACTGTGTATGTGGACAGCCTGAATGTGTCACTGGAGACTCTCATTGCAAATCTGTGTTCATGCCTTGTCCCTGCTTCTGGAGGGTCTCAGGTAAATGGAAAAAAAGGATATTTTTCCAGTTAATTTAATTTATGAAGCAAACAAAAAATAAATTCTTGAAATATTTTTGAAGAAAAAAAGATCATAGTTCAGCTGAGTGCTTTCCCTGTGGCCTGTCTTCTAAAGACAGCAAAAATTCCATTCCAGGGTAAGGTCAAAGGGTTAATTTTGTCACTGAGTTGGCTTTTTACAAGGCACAGCAACAAATCAAGCAGTTTGTATAAGTTTAGTTTTTAATAGTAATGTGTGTTCAGGAATATTTCTGCTTGCTAGATTTCTTTAAAGGCTTTTTTTCTTTGCCATTTTTTAACATGTCCTTCACTTTAGTTCATTTACCTGTGTCTTTTCCTTGATGCAGTTCAGGATTCCACTGGTCTTTTCTTTGGTAACTCTTTTAAATTTCTGTTTTCATAAAATTTTTTAAAAATGCTGAAGAAGTAATTTGGACATGGTTTTCTCAAAGGTAATTAAATATTCCAGGTAGCCCATGCATTCAAAAACGAGAAAAAAGTTTTCCAGCAACTACACTTCTTTCTGCTTTTTACCTATGCTTTCTGTGAGCAGAAAGTCAGGTTAGTTTGTTGATTTACTTTAAATAAATTTTTCTTATGCATTTGTGGGTTTCTGACAAGCCGGTTGGGTCTTACTTGCTTGGCCTTCATTTTATGCTATGGCACTACTGGGAAATTGTAGTCCTTATCATGAAACGTACCTGGAAACTAAGTACGCCAATGGCAATATTTTAAAGTTGATTTCATACCCATTTTCTCACACTTCCCACCCACCCTATGGATTATCAACCTTCTTGAAATCCTACAAATCCCTAATTCTTTTCTGTTTTTCCCATAGCCCTGGCTGCTTTGGAATTTCTCTTAGTGCTGTAAGTGGCAAAATGTCCTCTCAGCTTAGTCAAGATCTACCTTAACTGCTCTCCAGGCAACCATGACTCTGTCTTTTTGCATCCCAAGCCTTCTGGTTTTGAAGGGGAGTAATTAGATTGTATCTTCCTATCAGAAACCCTCTTTTCCAGTGGTATTTGAACCTCATATTACAGGTTTTGGTGATCCACTTGAACTTCTGGCTCCTCTTCTATCCTCTTTTTATTCTCCCCTCCTTCCCTCCTTCCCCCCCCCCCCCCCCCTCAAAAATATCTTATTTGCCCCCCCGCCCCTCCATAAATATGGCTTTCCCCAGTGGCTGTTTCCTCTGCTAGAAGAGGGAAGAAAATTCATGCTCCTCCAGCTATTCTCCCTTCTGTTTTCTCTCTTTAAATCAAATGTTTTTTCAGTTCGAACTTAAATTTGCTACTGTCAAACTACCATTTTAATCAGAAATTAAGTCCTTCTGTTTTTCTTAAGCTTCATGCTTCCAGGGCTAAATCTGAATTACATATCTTAGAATGAGAACACTCTTCTGATGTTTATCTCCAGAAGTCCTTGAGAAGCCTCCGAAGTTATTCATGTGTCGGCTGTTGAAATAATTAACTGCGAAATTAGTTATTGACCTGCATCCAGGTCTGCTGCTAAAGTGCTGGGGAAGAGCATCTCTGCTACAGCTGAGGGACTTGCTTGGTTTTACTGTGGAGCATTTTGGTTTCAAACATCTGCTGTGCAGCAACTAGAGCTTGCTACCTTCATACATTCAACATTTTTGCTGCCATACAGAGTGGAATTGTACCACACTTACTGCTTGTAGAGAAACACCCCCCACCCCATGGTAGTTATTGGTTAGAGGTAACTACTTGCAATCACCCACTGCTTGAATGTCATGTGGATTTACTCAGAGGAAGGCAAGATTATTTTGCAGTTACAATGCTTTTTGGGATGCGATACACAAGTGCATTCCTTTCACTCCCATTTCCTGCCTCCCTCAAGGAAAGTATGTTCTTGCGCTGGAAGGGTAACTGTAATTTTAATTCTACTTCTCTATGCAGAACAGGAACATAGGAGTAGTAGAAGTGTCCTCTTCAATACCCATGTATCACAAGTATGTTCATACTTAAAACATGCATGCAGATGGTAGATATCAAAGAACTTCAGTTAGAAAATAATATGTATTTTTCTGATTTGAATGGGTTTTAAACTTTTTTTTTCTGGAAGGTTTTTTAATGTATTATTAAAAATGTAATATCAAATGCCTTCAAAGCTATAACTATTTAACTAATTCAATGGAAATGCAAGGAAGGCACTATCATGTTATACATTCAAGGAGACATCATTGTCCGCAAATTATACTTCAGATCTGTATTGGTTGATTCAATTATTCTTACTGACTTTAAACTTCTATATACAAAATAAATAATTTTTGCAGGATGAATCACTTATCTGTATGACAACAGCTTGTTTATTCTATATAAATTAAATTTATACTCAATTAAAAAAAAATTATTTCTACAGAAATTGTTTTCTTTGGGAGCTGGAGACCGACAACTGATACAGACTCCTCTGCATGATAGCCTTCCTGTTACAGGCACCAGTGTGGCTCTTCTCTTTCAGCAACTGGGTATGTCTAGGTCTGCTTTCAAAAAAAAATATTTTTTTAAATTACAGAATAAGGTATTTTCTGTTCTCATTCCATTCAAATCATGTGCCAAGAAAGCTAAATATTAATTTCTTTTGAATGAAAGAATGACTAATAGTGCTTTTATCCCCTAATAAGACATTCATATAACCTTTTTGTACATCCTGCCAGTGGTAAGTTATCTCCAATATTATCTAGTATCTGTGAGTGTACTGTGAGCAGAAGTGAGCCTGGCCTCTGTTTAATTACAAAAACATTCATGTAAAAAGATTGCCCACCCCTTGGATACTGTATGAACTCCAAACAAAACCAAGGAGGTTAATAATAAAACCAGTGTAACCAAAAAGATTAGTAGAAAAGATATGTACTGATATCGGTAACTATTGGAATTCATGTTACTCTGTTGTTATCTATTATTCCCTATCTTTCAAGAAGATGATCTAACACAATCCTCACAAAATGCTTATTTGTTCGTTACAATTACAACGTCGTGTCACTATTACCTGGGTACCTCAATACTAATCTCATGTCTCATGAAATTTTAACACTCTGTTAGTCTTCTTTCCGTTGGTTTGTGAAATGACTTTGAAGGACAAACTTGTAGCAGCCATGGATAAGGGTGCAATCAATAATCTTTTCTGAACCTGTGAAACTCGTGTTTAGTCTCAAGTAATCAAATGGCCTCAAAATATGTGTTGTTATCTATTCTTCTCATATATGGACAATAAGAATGGATGCAAACTGGAAAAATAATAGTGAAGAGAAGTAAGAGCTTAAGTCACAGGAAGCAGTATCAGATCTGATGAGCACAATGCCATCTACTACTGATAAGATTTAATTGTATCCTTCCAAAAAGAATATTATTCCAAAAGGAATATTATTATTTTTTTGATAGCAGTTTAAATTAAAAAATGTGGCTAACATGGTATAGATGCTACTTAGCCTCACCTGAGGTTTTACTTGGCTTATTATGTCAAGATTCATTAAGATTACTCTGATCAGATTGCAGGCAATGTTTCAAACATGGATAGGCCCAACAACATTTCCCCTTTTCTGAAGATATAAAATATGGTATGAGGTACCATAAGTACAGTATGATATACCATGTAGTATGGTATGTTTGTTCTATAAGTACAGTATGTGATACTGAAGTTGAGGCAGTTTATTTTGGGCAATTGTAGTGAAGGTTGCTATAAATTCACAGTTCTGAAAATGTCAAAGAAAGCAAGACTTTTAGGTAGTGCTTAGATAGGTTAGCTACCATGTCTTGTGACAGTTGGCTTTTGTATCGCAAATTGGGATTGTAGTGTTTTGTCACAGGATCAGTCTGAGGAAGACAACAAAGGCATATAACCTGAAAAGTCATTGTATGCATCAGATTTATAGAGGGACACTGTGTAAGGACAGAGTGGGAATGTAAATATGGAAGAGGAAACTGAGGACCATCTTTTCTCTTGGATTCTTAGAGCATGTTTGCAGAGTGAGCTTCTCTTAATTCCACTCGCTGTGTATAAAACTGAATTATAAAACTTCCATATGAAAATTTAAAATTGCTTTCACGCACATAGGATTTAAGTTAATATTATTAACCACATTTTATTAGTGGCTAAATTAATACACCGACAGATGGATGTCATGTAGCTTCCTTAAAGATACTATAGCAGAGTAGTGGAGAGTTTTTGGAGTGCAACCAGGACTCCTGGATTGTTGTGCTAGCAATCAATGATTCTTTACCTTTATATTTTGAAATTGTGTAATTCCTTATTAGCTCATATACACTTTCCAGTATCTATACCCCTGATTTACTCTTTGTCTACCATCTCATCTTTCTTTTCCCATTATCCATTAGCCTTCTTGCTGTAAATAGTCTGGTTTCTATGGTTTTGCTGCTCTTCTGTCTTCTTTTCTTCCTCTGAGTTCCAGTAAATGTTTAGAGGTCCAATCTGTTTTGCTTTTTGGTGGTTTGTAAGAAGTACAAGTAAGAGATAGCAAGCCCATGCTTACCAAGTGCCCTTTCCAGTTATGGTGCACAGAAGGATATGAAAATCAGCAGAAGGAGGGGGAGAGAAAGGGAGATATTGAAGGAAAACTTGCTCATTGCTCACAATGCTGCTTAATGACACTTCAGCTGGCCTGAAGAAGAGAGAGACTGAAGAAAGTATGTGATTATAAAACTTGGCAAGTCATCATAAAGAGAAGCTATAGGCTTACATCCTGTTTCCCTGAAGAGATCATACAAGTTCGTAGAAAAAAAAAGAATTGTCTCAATACCTCTTCATTTCTGTTGTGGCATAATTTTCTCTTTTACAAGACTATCAAAACTATTAGGAAGAGCTTGTCTAATGGTCTTGTGTAGGTCCTCTTCCTGTCTCTCTGCTATTCTTTGGTGTGATAAGGACAGTAGTAGTTGCTTGGGAACAGGCCTGAAATTAGTTAAGGAATAGGCAAATAAGATGGCAGGTAGATTTTTTTTAAAAAAATTTATTTTTTAAGCACCTACTTGACCTTTTGCAAAAGAGACTTACTTTTCCCATCCCATCTCCTATTTTTGACCACTGCTTTTTTTTCTTTTTTTCCTTCTTTTTTCCTTTTTTTCCCTTTTTTCATTTTTTTCCTTTTATTTTTCCTTTTTTTCCCCTTCCCCCCCCTCCATGTGCCTCAGTTCCCAGCTGATGTCCCTTTCAAAGTTTTTGTGTCTAAGTATCTGGGGATATAGCACAATGATAGAATCACCTTGTATCTCTAAGGACACAAATTTTAAAATATTTGCGTTTTCATAGTGTACATCACTTTACAGAATAGCACATAGTTCCTTTCACATGTAGGTGGTGGACTGTCATCGTCATCTTAAGGCCAAGGTTTGTTAATGCTAAATTTCTGTTTGTATTTACTAAGAAAAGAAAGAGTTGTTAATACATCTACATATGTCTGTTTGCAATGGTTGCTGAATATAAAAAGAGGACCTGGAAATACAAACAGACTGTTTAAAATAAATTTTCATTTATTCTCACTTTTCATGTAGTCTTATGAAGAGTTAAAGGCAGTGAGTCCGGAAGGATGTGGTAGAACCTATTAGCTCATCTCTTTGAAAAAGTTTATTTTTCTAAGATAAGGACTAATCCTTTCCTCTGGAGATCATAGTTGAGCTTGTCAGAAGTTCTTTGTGCTTTTTATATGACTATTCACACTTGCTCTGTTTCGTTCCATTTGAACAGGAACGTGTGTGTATTTGTCTCTACCAACCTGGGCAAAAAGCATTCTACTTCTGTTGTCCAGTGTGGTGTTGGATAGTTACTTCTATGACAGCTGTTATCTCATCAAATGCTTGTGTTTAGGACACAAATATTGACTAGGCTGTTTGTCAAGTAACGACACGTTCAGTTATTTCATTTCTGGTACAAGTCACTTAATCCTACTTAAATTATTAATAGAAAATTGAAGAGTAGCTAGAAAAATATTTGTGAACTGTATAAATCACCTTTTTAAAAATAGCTCTTTCTTTGAAGAAGATGGGCAGCAAGACAAAATTTACCACTATGAATAGATACAAAAGTAATTTCAACATTTATTTTGAGAAAAGTTGTGCAATAGTAGTCTCATCATGCTTTTTCTGCTTGGCAGAGTAATACTGTGTCAGCGGATGACCCTCCCTGTATTACCAAGTTCGCAGCATATCTGGACATAGACCTTATTTTTACTTAGGCGTTAAACTACAGTTGGGAAAAACATCCCCAAAGGTTTTAAGCTTAATAATAAGTAAGAGCAGTGTTTGACATTTTAAGTCATACATTCTTTTTTTATTTAAAAAAAATTAATATATGGGAATAATGTGACAAAAGCCAGGCCTGTAGCTGGATCACTACACCTAAGAATGATTTCATCAACAAGGATTAGCTGGAAAAACAGTAATCATAGAGTTACTTTTAAAAATCATCTGTGGTAGCTAGAAGACCTTCAATACTCTTCTATTTCTCATTGTCTTTTAGTAAGTTGGTAGGTATCTATAAAAGCTTCAGAACACAGTAGCCTTCTTCAGGCTCAAAGGAGATTTTGTTTATATTTCTCTTCTCTCTCACTTTATTGACAATACATTCCTGTGTTTCTGCCTTAAGCTCTTTTCATTTCTATAAACTCCAACCCTACTTGCCTTCTCCATTCTGCTGGCAGTATGGTTATTCAGCACTGCCATATTCAGTCATTTGTATCTAAGACATACACCTCCATCTCCCCAACGGCCAGTTTTTTCCAAAGAACCTGAGACACAAAATTATATTAGGGACCTGAGCAGCAAAACAAGAACCGAAGGTTTAACCAGCACTTTTAATTTTCGCATGTTTCAAGGACTGGTAGCATGAATCACACTGCTAAGCTAAGCAGAACAATAATGAAAATCTGTTTTCCTGAAGAATTAATGCTTCCCCCTACTTTCCAAACGCTTAATCTAAGGCAAGAGAGTTTTCCTTCCTTTCCTTCTTGTTTAGTCTCTTATCTGGGCTGTTTTCCTATTCCCTTATTTCCTCTGTTCAATTTCATTTGTCTGTGCTGGTTTTCTTCCTCATACTCAAGTATTTTCAGTAGAACTCAGACTGGTTTTCAGTCTTAGAAAGAAAGTAATTTTTTAAGTGGCAAAAATGAAACTTTGAAGTAAATTCTACGTTGAATCTTTGGGATGAAGACATAAGGTAAGGATGCTTTTGAATTCAGGGCTGTGTAGAACAGAGGTTAAATAGATGGAACAGGATGAGGATGAATGGTAATGCTAGGTTGCTTGGCAAGCTTGCCTTTCATTTGTCCAATGTATGATGTAACTTATATGAAAGTGTTAAACATCATTATCCTTCAGCCTTTTTACATATCTTAAAGTATTTTTCATCTAGAAATTGTGCGTATACCATTAGGCAGTATAAGAAGCCTCTAAAACAAGTACTTTATAAATAATATATTTGAAGACTGCAGTGTAATTAAATATCAGTGATTCCAGA